ACAGGAGGGGGGGGGCGGGGGGGGCTAAAAGGTTAACCAAATATTTGTGTTACATAAGGTCCATGAAGTCCAAAACCATAAAACATGCTCTACAACTTATGCAATTAAATGATTTTTTTACCTTGCATTTTCCACCAAAATCTTTATATCAGGCAGCCATTAATGAATAACTTACCTTTGCAAATGTAGGTAATTACCAGCTGAAGACACCATTGTTTATATAGCACATTCCTTTGAAATATTTCCTTTACAAGCTCTGACAGGGAAATGATGTGCATATCAGGTTTCAACTTTCATGGTTCCATGAATGCAGGTTTGGTGATTCTGATTTGCCCATTGATGATCTTGCTGCAGTTTGTCTTCTGGTATTCCTGGGATTTGAGACCTTAGCTAGAATGGAACAGATCAAATCATCATGGACCATTTGGCATTTGTATAACGCCTCGAGAGCAGAAAAAAATAAAAATAAAATAACCTACAATTTTGTTGAAACTGACTCGCATGAATATTTTGACCGATCACAGTTATATTTTGGTATTTCATCCTTACTTGAAGCCTCCTCCAGTGATGGCCTAAAAGCAGAAGAAGAACGAAAGGAGGTGAGTCTTCTGCCAAGTAATGATATGATCTAGTTGAGACTTTAGCCAAAATCAATCCTGATGCTAAGTTTTTACATTTTCGAGATGTTGCATGAAATAGCAATTTGGACTCCAAGTTGCACAGGTGTACTATGGATAGGATCCAAGAGGGACATTTTCACTATTAATATTTTGTACATTTACACAAACACAAGTAAATTTATTTGATAACAAATAAATATTTCCAGTGACTTTTCTGCATCTTTATCAGAGCTACATTGTTAAATTGGTCCATTATACTCATATCAAAGTGTGGAAGCTAAAATATTTAAACCTGTAATCTTTCTTCTCCTCTCCCTGGTAAACGAATAATCACCCAGAGTTCATCCAGATTCTTGATGCACTAATAATTTACTGATTCGTCGAATATTCATGATGAGAATATGTAGAAGAGTCGCTGTATCTTTCGTATGTTTAGTGGATGAATTTATTTATAAAGGGCATCTTAGACGCCGTTGGAGAATAAAATGTATTAGATCATCTAGGTCGTTATGTTCAATATTTATTCTGTGCGTGGTATTGAGAAAACCAAGGATGCAATGGTGCTTAGTGCCTCATCCCCCACCCACTCAAAAATAAAATAATCATTCATACCTCAAGTGCATGTTTAATATGATTAACGTAATTTAATTTAATTTTTTTTTGTCAAGTGTTGTTTATTATTTAATCCATCTTACCAAATATGCGAAAATTGTTCTGCATGAGCAGCTTACCCACCTAACTATAGAAATGTTTGGATTACCAAGTGGTAAAAGGGGAGAGTGGAGAAATTCAGCTTTGCTTGAGGCTGCTGCGTCAAGGGTTCGAATCCTGAAATATGGATTTGGCTCTTGAGTAAGTGCAAGTGTACAAACAAATTTCCACCATGTACCCTTGGAGGCATAACCTGCGATTTACCTCTCTCACGATGCTCCAGGGCAGGGGTGGTGGGAGACCCTTAAAGTTGGGGTTCAACCTTTATAGAAATGTTTGGATTACAATCCAGGCTGAGCTGGCAGTTTCAGAACTTTCTGGATCTGGGGCTGGTATTTTGTCTGCTGCAAACAGTCTTCAGCACTTTCTTGCTAGTTTTTGTTGCTGAATGGGGTGACAAATCATTTTTCTCCACAATTGGTGAGTTGAAAACTTCGCATTAATATACTGCAACAACTAGTTAAGAAGTCTTTAATGCGATACTCTCTCTTTCAGCACTTGCTGCGGCCTCATCGCCTCTTGGGGTCATTGCAGGGGCATTAGTTGGCCATGGAGCTGCAACATTGGTAAATTTGAGTTTGAAATTAAAACCTTCAGCTGTAGCCCGTTTCTATTTCCGTAGGATCATAATTATTGGAAACTCACACAACACTTCTTTCATAAAACAATGTTAAGCAGTTTTGAAATAAAACGCGTGCAGTACAGTTTTAGCTCTGAAGTCTAGAGTTGTAAAAATGACTCAACCTCTATGTTCAAGACATTAACTTACGTACTATCCTCTACGAGAGAGCCTAGCTCATCTTATCTCTCATAGATTTTTATAACGTCCAAAGGATTCGACCCATGATCTTTCCGTTGAGAAAGATTTAAGTTGAATTTTGATACTAATTAGGATAAAAAGATTGGCTAAACTCTCCCATAACGAACAATACATAAGTTAACGACTTGAGCATAGAGGTCGAGTCGTTTTGTGATGAGCAGGCCTCGGGCCTGACTCTTATGTACTATCCGCTTTGGGAAAGCCAACGGCGAGGCAAGAGGACCGGATCTTACAAGAGTACTCCATAGCTTTTCACGAATTGCAATTCATCTTTTATATATATATATGCTGATTAATACCAATTTATATCTGCAGCTCGCTGTTCTAGGAGGTTCTTTTCTGGGGACATATTTATCCGAGAAGGTAGCTTCCTGTGCTGTTATTAATCAACCAAACATGGTATAAAGGAACCAGTATTCACCCCCATCAACACGTCGTGAATAATTGCATTTTGTCGAATGCATATTAGTATCCATCCTTCTGGATCATATGGCTCGGATCATTATTAAACAGTGAAGACAGTCGCGTGTATGCCCCCAACAGACGAGAATAAACACTCACCTTAACATATACGCAGATGAAGTGTTTAATTTCAGCTGCCTATGACACCATTAATTCTCAATTTAATCAAACTTTCGTCTATTGAACAGGTTATTGCTTACATTGGTGGCTCTCTCTTCCTCGTTTTTGCTGCAGTTACATTGATCGAGATAATTACTTAGAAATAATAATTTTTTTTCGCCTTCACTGACTTGGGTAGAACTGCCTTGGATGAATTCGTCTCCTTGAATAGGTTCAGAGATCTACTACTGACAACTTTTTGTTCATTGTAGAGTGATTAGACTTGAGTAGGTTGGTGCTCTACAGAAACTTCTGTATATTTAAAAATATAAATTGATTGATGATGGAATTGGATTTCTTTTCTTCGAGACTTGTTATTCTGAGCGCTTTGTTTTTCCAATTATACTATTTGGATAATCATACTTAACAATAATGATTGACAATGTTGATATTATCAAAATCTGAGCCATTGATTTAAAAGCTATTTATAAAATAAATGAATGTGATCATATCAAATGTGAGTTTGACAATCAAAATTGTCAAACTAGATTATACATTTAGCATGATTCTTAGTACTATCACTATTTAAATGACATGTATATTCACTATTTAAATGAGACTAAGCCCCAATTTGGTAACTATTTTTTCAAAAATAAAAATAAAAATTCATACTCATTTTCAATCATACATTCTTATAATAAAATACTCGTCGCATAAACCCAAAGTTTTTTCTTACTTTTAAACCGTGTACTCCTCAAAAATTTTACTATTCAAAAACTCATTCTTTCCAAAAAATAATTACCAAACAGGGACTAGTGCCTCGTTTGGTATCCATTTTTTTTTTCAAAATGTATTTTTCTCTCTCTTCTTTTTAACCACACAGTTTTCTTTAAAATAATATTATAAGTAAATAAAAAACTTTTCCTTATTTTTCAACCACACATTTTCCATCAATTTACTATTCTAAAATACATTTTTATATAAAAATGACTCCCAAACACCATATATAGGAGAATCAGTACTGAGTTGCATACTTGCATAATCTGGGGTAAAACTATAATCCGAGGTGGGGAGATTTCTAGATCCTTTTTAATGAATTTTCATCAGTTCCTGAAAAATAGTAACAAAATCTTTAAGGGAAATTAATAGTAATTCGAACTGAGGATAGAACATATAGAATTAAGCAAACAGAAGCCATAGTCTCCTTTTAAACAAACTAACAGAATTTTTCACGCACCAAGGAAACATTCGGTGTATAGTACTCAACAACACTTTACATTAGGGTAAGATTTTAACATTTTTCTTTTTAATCGACTTACCAAACACTAGAGAGCTAGGTGAATGAAAAAACCACACCAAATGAAGGCTTGAAATTGGAATCTTGATCTATACACACTTGAAGCCTGGAGGAACGGTTTTGCCACAAGCACTGACCAGCACACTAAGCGCAGCTGGCACTTTCAACTTAATTCCAAGTATATTAGCCTTAATGGCAGTGCAAAGACAAGCTGCAGCTTCCAAGTTAGCCAGCCCTTCTAGTAGAGAACAACATTTTCCTGATGGTGGGTTCCCAATAACAACGTTAACGAGTCCAAGGAGGTCGATGCAGACGCCAAGCTTCAATGTGTCCCTAGGGCAGAAGGGGTTCGTTGGTGCCGTTTTCGGGATGCATGTGCCACAACCACTGGTTAACGTGGCGAAAAAGAGGAAGGAGAAGGTCAAGACGATCGAGAAAAGATTGTTGGCAGCCATTGTTGCTGGCTTGAAACACTAGGCTTAAGGAATGGTGCTTTTGTTGAAATGAAGTTGTCTTATATAAAGTAAGAGTAATGCTATTCATAATCGCAGTGAACGACTGCAAATAACATTATTCATAAAGTAAAGATAGAAAGTGAGGTTAAAGTTGGGAGATTGATTGAGTGGAAGAGTGTAAAATGAAAATGGTGTGCAAGTTGGATTTTGTAATCTTGCGCAAAATATGGATGCTTAATATCTTACGCTAATTTGGGGTTAGATATTCAAGAAACTCTCCATGCTCAAAGTACATATTTAACAATTTAATTAACTTTTGCAAATTTTGCAAGTAAAATCTTTTAAATACTACAATGGTCCTTTATATTTAATATTAGAACATCTTCAAGGAACTCTCGATTTATAAATAGCATCTTATGTATAATAGGGATTATCTTTAAATGTAGAGAGTAACTCCAATAATACTATTTATTTTGACTCTTTATTTTATTTTTTCTTATAAACATTTATTAATTTCTTCTCATCTCTTATTTAACATATTTTTTTTTTAATAAGTTAATGGCCAATCAATACAAATGCGATTTGAATATTTTAAATTGTATAGCATTCAAAATTGTAACTTCTTAAATGAAATAATTGTTAATTAAATATAGAGTGTGAATTTGGCTCTACAAATTTAAAGAGACGAACTCATTGAGTATCTCCAAAAGACACTTTATTCATAAAAAAGCATCTTATGTATTATAGAGAGCATTTTTAAAATTTAGAGAGTCAAAATTTTTTATGCACTCCAATAATGTTCTTTATTTTGCTCTCCATTTTGATTTTCTCAATAAATATTTGTTGATTTCTCCTCATATATTATATAACATAATTTTTTGTATATATCAATGGTCAATCAATTAAAATATGGTTTGAATAGTTGAAGAAGTATATCATTAAAATCAATGACTTAAATCAATCATTGTTCATTAAGAATAGATAGTAAATTTGACTCTCTAAATTTGAAGAGTCAAATCTACTATTTATTTTCAAAAAAGTTAAAATAAAGAGTCTCTTGTAACTTATTTTTAAGTATTATAATATCTCCAAAAGACTCTTTAAACACAAAATACGCTCTATTTTAAAGAGTCAATACTTATAAATGAGCTTCAAGAGCTCTCTATTTTAACTATTGAAAATAAAGAGTATGTTTGGCCCTCCAAATTTAAAGAACCAAACTTCCTCTCGTTGCATTTAATACATTATAAGTTTAAATACTTTATAATTTAAAATTTTCAAATTACATTTGAATCGATTACTTATTAATATATAAAAAATTATACTTAAATAAAGTATGTGGAGAAATTATTAAATATTCATTGAAAAAAATAAAATAAAGAATCAAAGCATAGAGCATGTTGGAGTGTATAAAAAAATTAATCTCTAAATTTAAATATGCTCTCTATTATGTATAAGATGATCTTTATAAATAGAGAATCTCTTAGAGATGCTCTTAGCTAGGAGCGGATCTAGGATTGGATCCAAAATCGAGCAATAAAATTTCAAACCAGGCTAATATGTGAAAAAAATTTACACATAAAAAACTCTTTTTAAAAAAATAATAATAAATAATAAAAATAAAAATCTTGGGCTTTGGGGGGACTACAGCTGGTCCCCCCTACATTCGCCCCTGCTCTTAGCTCTTTAGTTCCTGTTTAGCTTTCATTAATTTTTATTCTATTACATTTTATTTTTCTCTCTCTTATTTTCAACCACATAATCTTTCATAAAATAATATTACACGTAAATTGAAACTTTTTCTTTTTTTCAACTACTCATTTTTCGAAATAAAATACTATTCCACTCATTTTCATTTCCATGAAATAGGGGCCAAACGTGGACTTAATATGAAGAGTATTTTATATTTTAGAGAGTCTTTTAAAAATGCTCTAAGCATCAACTCTCTAAAATAGAAAGTATTTAGTATTTAGAGGGACTTTTGGAGTCGTTCTTATTGTACAAGTTATTCCCAGCATTGGACGCTGGAAATGGCATGTTTATAACCGAATACTAATATTTTAACTTTTATTTTTATCTTTTCCTTTATATTAAATTATTATTTTTGAATATTTATATTTGAAATTACAGTATTTCCAGCCTGTACTATGTTTCATATCTAAAATTTAAAATATACACCTAAAGAATTTTTCATGCAATTATTTGTGCTAAATGTGTTAGCTTTTCCATTAATAACAAAAGTAGGTGTGTTTCAACTTTTAACTAGAACAAAATCCGAAGCTTGTGGTACCTGCTTGGAATGAAACAGTTTGATGCCCAAAGTGAAACTTTAGTATAAGTTGTGTGATTAAAAGATTTTAACCGTTAAAATCTTATTTATTACGATTTCCAATCATACATAATCTTGCTTACCTTGTTATTATTCAAAGAAAAAATTGTGTAATACTTACACATTTTAAGACTATACATATATTAATTGGTATATTAGCAAAAATATTAATTTCACGAGTAGTTAAGGGTTTGTTTGAGTTCTTTTTTTTTCTTGGGGAGGAATAGATTTTGTAATAGTTATTTTTTGAAAAATGCGCAATTAAAAAGTAAAAAAAAAAATTGGATCTACGAGTAAAATTATTTATTAGGAGGATATGTAATTCAAATGAGTTTGGGAAAAAAAATTAAATTTTAAAGAATGAGCTCGAACAGGTGCTAAATGTCAATCATATATAAACATAATACTGGATTAAATAATCCATGCAAAATGTAATCAATAATAACAAAATTGTACACAAAATGCATACTATATAGCTGGAAGATATAGGCTCCGTTTGGTAGGGATTTTTTGCCCCAAAAAATTGATTTTTTTGATCGTTATTTTACTATTCAAGCTGTAATTTTTGACTTCTTCTCTCACATGTGGACCCCACTTTTCTTCTAACGGTCAAAAAATCAATTCTCGAAATCTCTACCAAACGGGCCCATAGAATTATTAGGAGCCTTGCGTGGAATATTTAGTAAAAAGAATTAAGCTATTTGTATAATGTTAGTTGACAATGTTAGAAGTGGCGAAATTCGGACCAATGATTTAAAAAATAGTTTTTGATAATGTAAAAAAATGAATAGTTATGATGATACCAACAAATGTTGTCATTCATTATTGTGCAAGTAGCATAATTGATAGTAAAAATTACTTTCTTCTATCACACGTTGAGGACCTAAAAAAGAGCCTATCTTGCCCCCCAGGGCACATCCAAATTGGCGGAACAATCACATTGGGGGGCTTTGGAACCAAGTGTGGGGAGTTCGATTCCTGGTTGGAGCAGCCAAGTGATGTAATAACCAGAGGAAGGGTTGGAGCAGCTTGGTGATGTAATAACCATGGAGGAGGGTCCCTTTGGGGAAGGAGTAAAAGCCATGTGGGAACCTGGGAACCAACAAGGGCACAACCTGCGATTTACCTCCACTAGTCACTGAGGGGCCGGGGCTAGAGGTCCAGGATTTAGTCCGGCTAAGCTGGGACACCTGGGTTAAAAAAAAAAAAAAAAGAGCCTATCTATACGTACAAAGAAAATCACAAAAATAGTACAGGTATTCAAAACAAATGAAGTTGTTGAGGGAAAAGAAAAGGCATAAATAGTAAATGAAAAAACAAAGAACTGTCACATCATCATTTTTTAAAATTCTGTAGCTTACCTGTGAAAATTTCCAGTAAGTTTAGCATAAATCCCTAAAAAATGGCATGGGTGCTGGCCAGGTTGTGTGACATAACACGTATTTTCTCAATTGGGCAAGAAAGGACAACCTCTTTTGTATTGTGCTTTGTCTAGTCATTGAATTATGAATCAATTATTGATGCAACGTAACCTCCATATATGTGGCCATGTTTGGTACCCATTTTTTTAAAAATGTATTTTTCTCTCTCTTCTTTTCAATCACACATTCTTTATTAAAATAGTATTACACGTAAATAAAAAATTTTTCCTTATTTTTTAACCACACATTTCCCATTAATTTACTATTCAAAAATACATTTTCACGTAAAAATATCTACCAAACACCTCTATGTTTGCCAACTTAAGAGCATCTTCAATAATGCTTTAAATTATATCTAAATTATGATTTAAATGTTTAAAGTGGTCAAAAACTTCTCCAATGAAGAGATGCAAAGGAAATGTAAATTACATTTTTTAAGGAGAAAATGCATTTGTATGTGTGTAAAAATTATTTTTTTAAAGAAAAAAAAAAAAAAAAAAAAAAAAAAAAAAAAAATAAGGTATCAACAAGGCAAAAAGCTATCATCCCCTTGCACCAAATTTTTTTAGATCTCGTACAAAATTTAAATTTATATCCATCAAAATATAAATGAGAATGCAAAAGTAATTTTGAAGATGTCAATTTACACCCAATTTTACGTCATCATTAGAGATACTTTAATCTAATGCTAGTGATCGAACTACTAACCAATAAATTGCAATATATAACATTTTTGTAATTATTTTTTATAAAATGCTTTTGAAAAATGGATCGCCAAAAACATTTAATTTAGTTTATTCTAGATCTATTGAAAATAAAATTGGATTCATCATCGTAATTGGGCAAATGTTTCTTTTGAAAAAAGGACTGTTAGTTTGTTCCTTGGAAGTGGATTCTACAACCCAATTTCATCTTCTCCATTTTTTCTGTACTTCTTGTGACTCCAGTTATAGATTCATTATCATTTTCATTTTATTGATTTCCCCGAAATCAATGGAAAAGATTGTTCTTTTCATATGCTATAAAGGAACCCATTATTTATTTGCAGAAATTTTATCTAAGCATTCAAAATATCATATTAGCAAAAATTTTATTTGACATAATATGAAAATTTTCTCTAACGAAAATACTGCCACAATTTTGTTATCCTATATTTTTCAGTAAAAATAATATATAATATCGAGTTTAGTAACTAAAGCAAGCAACAATTCTATTCTACTTCCGAGTCCTCGTGGCTACAGAAAGGTTATTGTGTGTCCATCTTACCCTTTTATTTTTATTGAACATAA